ATATAAGGCCTAAATGACATAGCCAGGATCAAAGAAAGCTAAGCACCCATATGGGATGGAAACACCAAACACTGAGCAGGTCACAGTGGTCGGCCTATTGGTCTTCAGTTGCTGAAAGAGGCCATGCCACCCTGAATTCTGCTCTGCTCAGGTCAATAGGAATAAAAGCCCTCTGTGGAGAATAGAGGGCCAGAGCCAGGCTACCTGCCTGTATCAGGGGCTGGCATAGTTTTCCTGCTCCAATTCTAAAAAGGCTAGAATAAAACATGCTGCTACTATTATACTTTAGGAAAGATGCACTGATAAGCACAGCCTGATAATGAGAGGAACTAAGCCTTGCCACACCCTAGCCCAGGTCTTCTTCCCTAATCCCAGTGTTATCCTAGGACAGGAGCCTTGAAATGACTCTAAGATCCTGCTCTAAACTAGGGCCCATGGAGACTGGATAGAGGCAATCAAAAAGTTGCTAGAAAGTGAGGGCAGACCTCAGGGGAAGAAGTAGATCTGAGAGAGGATGAGAGGGAGAGAAACGAGCCTGCAGATCAAAATTCCAAACACATGAAGAACTCATTCTAAATTCTAATATAATCTAAATCTATTTCTAAAAATGGCAGCCAACAAAATCAACAATTGAGGCATGAATTCATTACAAAAGAAATTAACCTTATGGAAAAGTCTGACGAAGCGTTATGATAATGCTCAGAGAGATAAATGGGTTAATGGCTTTTCGTAAAAAGAGTCAGATAATAAAATCAGGAAGAAATAAACCAGGAACAAGTAACTATTAAATGAAAACTATTAGACATCCAAAAATGAAAAATATAGTGAAATCACAAACTAGATGGTATAAATTTTAGAGTAGATAAATGTGAAAGTTTCTAATGTAAGTTATTTAAGCACTGTCAGCACAAGAGACTGGAAAACATGATAGATAAAATGTATGTGTGTCAAGAGTTTAAAATTTCCAGGATTTAAGAACTATGATTCTTTGACTTAAAAGGGAATTCTGAATTCCTAACAAGATAAATTTAGATTCACAACTAGACATTATATTACTAATATAAAATATATTAGTAATATAAAATATTAATAGCTAATTTGTAGAATGTGACTTATAAAGAGAAAAATAATCTATAGATTACCTACAAAGGAAAGAATATTAAATTGACATCAAACTTCTCACAGTCAACAACAGATGTCAGAAGATAATGCGATATAAAAGTGCTGGGGAAAAATATTGATCTACTTGTAATTGTATAACTATCTGAGCTGCAATTCAAGAATGAAGTGAAAGGAAGGCAGTTTTACAGATACCAGGATGAAGTGAAATCACCATCTACAAACCCTCACACACACACAAAAGATTTCATTTAGAAAAAAATAAATAAAACAACTCAGTGGGGCCAAATTTAATATATACACACAAAAACTATATGCATAGAAATCAAACTGGAAATAAGGGTGGATGAAGGTGTTTACTAAGCAAGAAAACATCCTCAGATCTATCAGCTGTTTGGAAGGAGGACATAAACCCTAAAAATATTTAGCAAACTATATATCTATGTATGTATGCTTTTTAAAAAGGGCAAATCACTAAAGGAATAGAATTATAATCTACACTTACAAATTAGCAGATGAATAAAATAGAACAGAAAAAATGTTTCTGACTTATTTCGCTTAGCATGGTCATCTCAAGAATAAAATAAGTCACACAGAAAAAGTTGAGACACATATGACTTCACTCATATGTGGGATATAAAACTGAAATCAACAAACAAACAAGGCAAACAAACAAAAAAATCATAGACACAGACAACAGTTAAGTGGTTACCAAAGGGTAAGTGGGGGGAGGGTAAAGAGGTTAAAGGGGGTCAAATATATGGTGATGGAAGGAGAACTGAATCTGGGTGATGAACACACAATGCAATATATATATGATGTATTACAGAAATGTACACTTGAAACCTATTGGGTCATTGAGAAAGTCATGATGCATTTTTGCATTGAAAAACATAGAAAAATACGTCATGACTTTCCCAACGACCCAATATATAATTCTACTAACCAATGTCATCTGATAAATTTAGTAAAAACTAAAAAACAAACAAAACAAAGTGTTTCAATAATGCAAGGAAATAAAAAAGAATATAGAAGCAAAACAGTACATAAACTACAATGGTAAAAACAAACCGAGATGCGTCAATACATATGAATTAAACTCACCTGTTAAAACATAGATTTTCAGAATGGACCTTGAAATTTTAGCTCTATGCTCCCTGACAGTTACTCTGTCTTTACCACTCTCCCCTTCTCTCTCCTGGTGGTGGTGGTGGTGGTAATGGGGGGTGGGAGGAATCAGGAGTAACAAAAGAATTAATTCCTGGCTTAAATTTGAATACAAACCACGTGACACTAGATACATGATGCCATTTGTGAATTTCTCTTGGATGCTAAATTTGCTTCTTGAGGACCTCTTGGGTTTGCCCTCAGCCACACACCCTTCTCCCACCCCCGCCCCTCATATACTCCAGTTATGGCTCTTATTGGTGTTTCCAACTATACTGTTTACATAAAGTAGGAAACTGCTTTTCAAATAACTTCAAATTTTAATATATACCAAAACACCTCAGGAAACCTTATGCTAACAGCCTGTTTTGTAACTCACTACAAGGCTCTTGGCTCTGCTGTGCCCTCCTACTGAGGCACGCCACACAGTAGCATTAGGGGGTGTGAGGAAGGCTTGAGACCCAATTCTTTCTCAGGTCTGCCTCCCCGATATTGGCCCCCTTTAGTCCTATAACAAAATCTTCCGGTGTATGATCACTGTTTAAAAATAAAAGCCAGTATTTACTCCTATTAGTCCTATCTAGAAAGAGGGTGATTTTGAAAGTAGGAACCCTGATGATCGATGTCAGGATGCCAAGCTTATAATTAAAGAAAAATTGTTCCCAAATAGCCTTGCAGGGCCATCAAGAGAGACAAGCATTGTGATTTCTAGTATGAGGTAGGTTTGATTTAAATGAAGAGGAAAACTGAAAAACCTAGGTACCCAAGACAGCTAACTAAACCAGTGACTACTGGCTTTACTAAGGTGTTAGCTCCTTTACAAAAAAAGCATCTACAGTAAAATTCTCTCATCAAGAATATCTTAAAACCTCTTCCTATGGGCTCAAGCCATACATCTCTGAAAATCTTATGGAGTATGAGGTTCAGTCATCTCTTACTGAATACCCAGGCTCCACTCCCAGGAACTTTGGGGTTGCATCCAACAGGGTGACTCCTCCCCACCTTTGTTCCCTACACACACACACACACACACACACACACACACACACACACACACGCCCCTATACAACTGCAACATGCCTACAACACCCCTGCCAGACTTTCTGTGGTTTCCTTCTTTGCAGACCTTTGCAAATCAACTCTGGTCCAAAGACCTGAGCTCTACAGTTTTTGTGGAATTATAATCTGAAGTATGAGTTTTTCAATAAAAGTCAACAATGACCTTCTGTTAAATATAAATGTAGTATACTCTACCTTTAGCTGTTTACCTGATGACTGATTAAATCCTTAAATCAATACTATGCTAAAATTATCTCCATGTTTTAGTTGGTAGTACATTCAAATTTTTTTTAAAAAGTTTAACAAGCTAGAATTATTCAACATAAAAGCTATTTTCTTTTTTCTTATTTTAATTCTTACATTCAAAATATAGACTTACAATAACTGGACATTAAGAACTGTTAGAATTATGATACACTAAGGATGAAAGCCAATTGTTTTGACCAAAAATGTATGTACCTTTAAGTAATATTTTGAGTAGGAGCTGTTGAAAATTGTCTATGTACACATCTAGTATTTAAATTCATATTTAGGTTTGAATATATTCAAGAGTAAAACAGTAACTTGAAGAATTCTAATATGAATGACAGATGTATTACTAGCATAGTATACCCGAGATTTAGTTAACTGAATATTGAAAAAGTATAACAGAAGTTATTCAGTAACAAATTTAGAATCTAGTAGGCATAAGGGCACTTCTGAATAACCTTGTGTTATTTACTGAGAACGTAGAAAGTAAAAGTAGACATTTGTAACCATGATTTCAGGGATATTTCTTCATGAACTACAAATAGACAACTCCCTTATGGAAGAACAGAAATTATATATACACAAGATTTATTGCAGCCCCGACCTCTCAATGCATAAATTATTATCTTGAGAGAGTGACTGGCATCAGTATAGAATTAACTACTTTTTAATACGTCAGTGTGATAATGTACCCACTGATGCTACCTAATTTTATCAGCTTTAGATTTAAAAGAGACATGAAACAACATCCTCATTTTAAAGGTCCAAAAAATAAGCCCAAGAGGGGAGGTGACTTGCCCAAAGGGATATCTACATAGTAACTGAAATACAAATAAAACTAAAATATCCCAACCCCTAATCCACAGCTCATTCCATAAATTCACATTGGCTTTGACGCGATCAGTTATTCCAGGACGTATTATACAGATTTTTTATATACTAATATACAGATTTTACTAAATACAACAAAAGCATAATCCATTTTGAAAGTTCTTCCCCCATCATAAGACAGAAAAGACTCCCAGACAAACTGAAGAATTTAGCTTCCTAAAACCATCCTCTCTGCTTGAAGGGGAGGTAACAGGAGAAAGGAAACATGTCTTATCCATTGAATTAAACAGAAAGGTAAAATTAAAAAAATAGATGATCCTCTAGAAGTAGTGCTAGACAATGAGAATTTATAACACATGAAGAGTAATTAGCTTTTTCTCAACAGGATATCATTTTTAACATTATAAATTATAAAATCTTCATAATAACCCCTATATAATGGTTCAGAAAATATGAAATTACTTCAACTTCCAATTTTCTTTCTTAAAATAATGGCTACTCCAATGCCAGTTTACACACACACACACACACACACACACACACACACACACACACACACACACACAGGTACTTACTGAGCTGTAGAGATAGCCTTCACCATTCATGGCCACATAGAGGCTGGCCTTCACCCCTTGGATGGCCACCACACGCAGGCCAACGGGAATTAGATTGAAGAGGGCTAGAGGGGGAAAAAGACAGAGAGGAAAAGATCAGTGACTTTTTGAATAAATCATCTGTTTATTAAGATGACTATTTGAGAATGTAAAGCTATGAACTGAAATTAGGGGGGAAGGGAGGGAGAGAGGAAAGGAAGGGAAGGGAAGAATAAGTAAATGAATATCTAAGGGTGAGGAGAACTGACTTCTTGTCTCTGCACCACCACAAATTACTTATGTGGTTTCAGGTAGACCACATAAACTCATCTGTAATAAAGAAGTTACATTAGAAATTTCTAAAGACCCCAACTGGATCTGAGAGTGCAAGATCTCTGCTCCACAAAATGAATACAAACAGTGTAATATAAGATTTTTTTCTAACAAATAATTTGAAACAAAAATTTTTCAACAATAGAACATATTTATAGTCATAAACAATAATAAAATATGATCTTTGTAACATATGCCGGAAGTTCTTCCTATGTTCTTACCGCTGTCTTTGGGTTACTGAAATAACTTAAGAAGTACAAGACCTTAGAGTCTGGTTGGGGAGAGAAAGCTAAGACATATGGAATAATCTGATACAGTGTATAATTTATTTCTATAATTAAATGTAATATATGCATTCTATATATAGTCTCTATGTTGCAGAAGTTCAGGAAAATGGAAGATCTGTGTGGCCTGCGATCAGGAAATGTCTTACACAGAAGACGGGACCAGAGTCAACACTTAAAGAGAGGGCAGAAGTTGAGTGAGCCAAGGACAGAAGGACATTTCAGTGGGGCAGTATACAGGCGGTACCGCAGGGTAATGTGCGTATAGGGGAAAGGGCTGGCAGGTGAGAAGATTCAATTCATATTGAAGAGAAACGGAAAAGAACACCATGTAGATACAGTAGGATAAATAACTGTGAGTCTGTCAGTCCAATCTTAGAAATCTAGACTTTTCCAAATGGGCAACAAGAGGTTGACTTACAAAGACTTAAGAAGCAAGGTTACAAAAACGTGTGAGATTTGCAGACAATACAGTTTCTAAACCCACCACGCAGAAGCTGCATGGCTTTGAGCCATTCATTTAACTTCTCTGCTTTAGTTTTCCTGTCTGTAAAACAGGTATAATAATCCTTAGTGCACGGAGTTGATTGAAGAATCAAAAGCATAATCATGTTCTTGAAAGTGTTTCATAAACAGAGATGTGTTCTCTCTCTGTAAGAGTTATTTATCATTAACACATGATTCTTCTGCCTGTCAAATAAGGTTAGTATAGAGTCTGATGTAAAAACTGACATATCACCCCAGTAATATTTATTGAGTTTATATTCAGAAGGTTATTTAATACTTTAAAAAATAACACTTCATATACGCACAACACTTAATTTTCAAAGGGTTGGCAAATGTATAATTGCATTTAACACTCAAGCACAAACACTATGAAGAGTTTAGGACAGAATGATTATCCTACATTTTTTAAGGCAACACAGGTTCAGAGACATAACATAGGTGAAATTGCATCTGAACAAGGCTCTCTAATGTGGTTATCGCCCAAAATATTGTATTTTCTCCTTCTTCCCTTTTAATGTCTGTTCCTACTTTCTTGCAAAGTAATAGACAATTCCACTGCATTTCCCTACATACTCTGCAGCTAGCTGTGGCTATGCACACAGGACTAGCCAATAAGATATAGGCAGAAGGGTCTTGGTATGTGTGAAGATACCTTCCATGAAAACAGCTTGTAAGGATCCTTTGCCCTGTTCTCCATTCTTCGCCTTCCTGCTGTTTGGACACTGATGTGGTGGCTGGATCATCCCAGACCATGAAAACAAGGACTACTCTAGAAAGAGTTGTAGCTGGTGAGCTGGAAAGAGTTGGGTCCCCGAGGACGGGGAGGGGCAGTGGCTCATTCAGTTACCTAGGTCTGACATTTATGTGAGAAAGAAGTCCTTGTTATTTTAGTCTGTGCAGCACAGAGCCAGCCCTAATCCTAACTAATACAAATTGCTAATGAAAGCAGAGTTGAGGTGCAAACCAAATGTAAGACATTTACACAGTGTAAATAAATGCAGCGACTGGAATTTGATGCAACTATCAAGTTCATTGACAATTCTTATGAGAAAAGTAATGAGATCCAAAATTGTGCATCATGTGTTTGTTTCTAAGGTAAAAATTTTCCAGGAAAAATGCTAAGAACAATGCTTTATTTAGGTGAAACAGAAATATAAAAGCAACTGTAAAGCTTTTTCTATCTGAGGAGAGTGAGAAAACTACTAAAGCAAGACAGCGACAAGAACAAAAAACTTGTGTGAAAGTTTTATATCAGCCGTAAGGTGATAATAGCTTTTGGATGGTATGCTTTGGGAGATTTAACAAGTCCATAAAACAATATCAGTAAACAATTTGGAATTAGACTTTTTAGCGGTAAAAGCTAAAATCTGTTTTCTTTGGGAGGCATCTGCCTCCTAAAATCTGAAGAAGTGGAAAATGGCGTATCCTTATCTATTATTTTTCTTCAGTGTAGCACACTGGCTCCAGCTCACAGAAGCCCTTCGCAACTCAGTGAGAATTCCTCCTGAGCCTCCTGGCTTCCTCTCCATCCTCAAAGCCACTGTCCTAACGCATAGCAACCAGGCCACTTCATTCTCCAAGTCCCTTGTATCATCTACTCATACTATTTCCTTGCTTACAACCTCTAGTGATTGATTGGTTCCTCACTGTCTACAAGATGGATCCAAAGTCTTTCCTCTGGCTCTCAAGGCCCATTAAAACCTGGTTCCAACCCACCTTTCTAGTCTATCACCTGTCACTCATCCCATCTACCATGAACCAGCTTCATAGAGCTTTATTCATTTTCTAAGTTCCCACTTGATCTTTAACTTGGCTGGATTTTTTTGTTGTTGTTGTTCCCTCTGTTGGAAAAGCCTATTTCCCACTTCTAAATTTGGTCAACTCTTTTCATTTTTTAAGACCTATGTTATTTAAGTACCTCATGAATCTTATCTAAACCCTACAGAGGTAGTTGCTTCCTTTGCCATAATTGTTTATTGCATAGACATATCTCCGTAATGGCATTTAGAACATGGCATCATAGCTATTTGTTTATGCATCTGTCTCATCCTTAAAATGCAAGACTCTTGAGGGTAGGTCTCTGTAGTTTCTACCCCAGTAATATGTACATATCTTATATTTAATTGATTATAAGTGTCATAAAAAGACACATTATTTCTAGAAACTTAGGCTTTCTTGTTGGAATAAAAGTGTTTTTTAAGTGTTTAAAAATGAAATTAAAAACTTAAAATAGCTCAGCCTGATATTCAAGGTTATGTATAGTCACAGCATACATTTCTATTAGATGCCACTATTCACTCCGATGTTTATTCACTGCTTCTAATAATTTGACCTCCCTCCTCTTACCTTTTAACTCCATGTTTTTGCTTACTTCATTCCCTATGCTTAGAATGTCATTTTTCCCATATCTTTATATTGAAATCCCTGCCACGCTTGAAATGACATACCAAATGCTTTCTCTCACTTCTTAGTTGCCCCAGACCTGGATTTACACTACATTTGCAATTTATAACTTTCTTCCTTTAAAAAAATGTTTTGTCTCCTAACCAGAACTAGATTTTAAGCTTTCCAAAAGAAAGATGATATCTAAAGGACACTCGTATAATATGGAGAGAATGAAAGAGGGAAGGAAGAAGAGAAACGGAGATAGAAACACACACACACACTGAAAGACAGAATAATCAGGCTAGTATATAGTCTATTGATATCCATTATCCCAGTAAACATTTGCTGAATAAAGATCACAATTATAGGGTCAGATGGTTAGCTCAGTTGATTAGAGCACAGTGCTCATAACACCAATGGTTGCTGGTTCGATCCCCACAATTAGATTGAAACAACTACTTGACTTGGAGCTGATGGGTCCTGGAAAAACACACTGTTCCCCAATTAAAAAAAAAATTTAAGACTACAATTATAAGCCAAATAGAATTTACTCATCGAATCTGACAATTGAGCATTTCTCAATCTTGAACTTTCCAAAAGGAGTATCTCATTCTAAATCTTTATATAAATCTGACTTATGTTTCTAAAAATGAAATAATTGAGTTGGTGTTATTGGGATCCATAAACTAAACTCTATCATTAAACCACATGGAAAAACATAATGAAGGGAAAAGACAGTTTCTTCAGCAAATGGTGTTGGAAAAACTGGGTATCTACATTCAAAAGAATGAAGTTGGACACTATCTTACATGATAAACAAATACACAAACAAAAACCCCACTCGAAATGGATTAAAGATCTAAACACAAAACCTGAAACTATAAAAGTCCTAGAAGAAAATGTAGGAGAAAACCTTCTTGTCATTGGTCTTGGCAATGATTTCTTGGATACGACACCAGAAGTATAGACAACAAAAGCAAAAATAGACAAGTGGGACTACATCAAACTAAAAATCTCCTGCACAGCAAAGGAAACAATCAACAGAATGAAAAGGCAACCTAAAGAATGGGAGAAAAATATCTGCAAACCATGTATCTGAAAAGAAATAAATATCCAAAATATAAGGAATTCCTATGACTCAATAGCAAAAAATAAAAAAATAACCCAATTAAGAAATAGGCAAAATATCTGAATAGACATTTCTTCAAACGTGATATCCAAATGGCCAATAGATACATGAAGAATGTTCAACATCATGACTCATCAGGGAAACACAAATCAAAACCAAAATGAGATATTGCCTCTTACCTGTTAGAATGAACACTATCAAAGAAACAAACAAAATAAAAAACAAAAAAAAACACCCAGGAAATAACAAGTGTTGATGAGGACATAGAGAAACTGGAACCGTTGTGCACTGCTGATGGGAATGTAAAATGGTGCAACCACCATCAAAAACAATATGTAAGTCCCTGAAAAATTAAAAATAGAACCACCACCATTATATGATGTAGAAATCCCTCTACTGGATATATCTAAAAGACCTGAAATTAGGATCTCAGGAATATATCTGCCCT